CAAAATGGGCCGAATTTCAGCCAGTTCTGTAAAGAAAATTATAAAAATGAAAAAGGGAAGAAAAAGAAGAGAGAAAAAAAAAAAAAACCAAGGTATTTATTTCTCAGCCCAGATTCCATATTGCACGCAGGAATTAACACTTTCATCGTCATATACTTACAACAACTTCAAATAAATAAAAGTACAGTAAATCGAAACAGAAAACCCAAATAATACGTGGCTGGAAAAGGGGCTTTTCTCCCCTGGGTGGTTATTTTTTTCAACGTGTGTTTCAAGCCGGGGGGAAGGGGGAAAGGCAGCACCACCCCTCGGTGTGCCCAGCCTGGGGAAATATCCCTCCTGCCCATCCACAGCCCCCCGGAAAAATAAATGATCCCTGGGCAGCAGAACCCCCTGGGCCGGGGGTCCTGCCGGGAAGGACCCCTGAACCCACCGACGTTTTTCAACCCACTGCAGGGGAATTTTGAATCCAGCAACACAAAGAGAGAGCAAAAGGTCCCTGAAACCCCCAGCCCCAAAATAAACCCTCACAATCCGTGATTACAAAGCACCACATCGGATCCAAGCTGAGATTTTTTCCTTAGTTTTCCTGAGTCTAAAGCCGGCTGCGTTTTAAAAAGCAGCAGCACCTTTTGCATTAAATCCTCCTTTATTTTTCATTTTTCTTCCAAGATACTTTGGATTTTTCTCCTACCTAGACAAGTATTTATAGGGGGGGGGGGGAAAAAAACACCTCAAACAAACAAACAAACAGGTTTTGCTTCTTTTGCAACCGTTTGGAAATAAAGCAACGTCACTCACATCAGTATCAAGGTGCCTTTTCTGTCCTCTCGGCCCTCCTGGCCATGCGAGTTGATCTTTTTTTTTCCTCAAAACCACAACTAGTTTGAATCACCCCAACCTCCCCCTCCTCCCTGCTCACTGTGACCCGCAGAGGTTTTGCTCCTTCCAACCAGTCACCGTTTGGCCTCGTTCATTTTATTTTTAAGTCCAAACCAGGTTATTTCAGCCAACAGTTCGGGTTTTCCTTGGGGTTTCTTTCTCTTTTTTTTGTCAATCTACTTTGGCGGCACCTCCACCCCCCTCCAGCCTTTTGCTGGGGGGATCCCTGGGAAGATTTGTATTTGTTTACCGATTTTTAAATCGCTTTTATTTCCTTGAAACGCCTTTAAAAGCAAACGGGGAGATGATTCTTTCTGCTGATCGCTGTGATTTTTTTTTTGGTGCTGCCCAGGGGGTGGTTCTGCCCCTCGAGGAGCCACATTCAAGGTGTGTTTTGTGGGGAAAGTTTTGAGGTATTTGGCGTCGCGTTCACAGCCCGTGATGGAGAAATTTTTTTTTATATATATATATATATAAAGAAGAGATCCCTGCCCCTCCACGGCGGGGATGTGTGAGCAGATCAGCTC